ACTTCGGGCAGCCAGCAACAACCGTTATCAATCTCACAAAAAAGATTGGAACTACAAACCACTAAATTGGGACCAATGCAGTTGTTTGTGACCAAACTCAACAAGAGATTTTCAGGAACTGAACTGGTTGAAGCCTTTATTGAGGCCAGAAAGGTATGTTTCTTGCTAAATTATTATTAATAATAGTATGAAATTATACATTTTGAGACATGGATGGGATGAAAATATTCAGTCCTATTTACTGATGTTCGATGATCGATTATAATCGAAAATTGATTGTTACACCTTTCCAGGCGAGAATCGATTGCAAAATTTCATAATCGATTGTCGGTAATGAATTTTACTTAAACAGTAATGAATACCCAACTCAGACCTCAAGACAACTGGCTGTTACCTATAATTATAACTTCTGTCCGTATTATTCACAAAAATCACAATCATATTGTGTCTACTCAAGCCTCGAAATGAAGTGTAGTTGACAGAAAATGGATACATACATATATTTTGTTTTGCTAAATGTCATATTTATTGGAGCTTGCGATCACAACAAACTGTCATGTGTATTTCATCTCATTCCATCGCATAAAATTTCCGCTTACCATGTTCATGAGAAGTAATGCGCTTTTTCACTCCAACCGTGATAGCACCAATTTTAACATTATTCTCCTTGATCACAAACTGATTACGCTTCGTCATCCATTTTCTGTCAGCTACACTTCATTTCAAAGGCGCATTTTAGTCATGTAATGTTTTTATGACATCTGACAAGATCTGTTGTTTGTTGAATGGTCGGTTCGATGCTGTTGATGGTAAATAATAAACCATAAAAAGAACAAAAATTCTTTTCTTTTGTGTACCTCTACATGTTCAACCATCTGTCTCTGAACTGTACTTGGAGTCAATCTCAAAATTTGTGCATATTTATGTTATAAGTCAAAATCAAAAATAAATTATGGTAACTAATTTATCTCAGTTTATTCTAAACTTTACAGTAACAAAATTGGGGAAACCCTATTTTTATATTTGTTTTGAACCCCCAAACCACCCAGTTTTACTCAATTTTCATGTGTCACAATTCCAGTGGCCGATGCTTACCAGTTCGTTTTTTTTTGTCTTTTTGAGTGGTTTTCCAAAGGAAATTTTTTTAACATATCATAATTAATGATGTTACAGCTACATGCTTGGCATGGTTTGGCCTTTTGTAGTATCTTCTAATTCTACTTCATGTTTGCAAGCAATGGCAGTGAGGAAACATGGGTCAAACATGACACAAAAAAATCATTTTTCTGAATTTTACTCGCCAAAAGGTGTGTACTGAAATGATATCCTGAGATTTTGCATGTCCTAACTTGTTCACGGTGGCTGAACGCTGAAACCAATTAATTTTGTGAAGCCAAACAATGCCAAGAACCTTAGACAGTAGGGGAAATCATTTGAATCCATGTGGGCTCAGTAAACTTTGGGGACCAGTTATTGTTTTAAAACTGATATTATTATTAGTCTCATCACTATCGTTCTACGGTCACTGCCAAGTATCATGGGTTTTGTTACGGTAAGGACAGATTTTGGACGGCAGTGATGTATCCAGTTTAATGTTGTTTGTATCTAAGTTTCAAATGTTTTGGAATCTTATTTAACATAAAAAAATTGTATCAAATTAATAAAATCAATAAGCATATAAGTATGATTTTTTTGTTACGTAAGATGGGACAGGGAGTGTAACGGTGACAAAGAAGAAAAATGGCTGTGATAAGATTGTTACGGTAGTGACATTCATACTGTCACAATGTCACTGCTGTAACATGCAGTCTTTACCTGTTTTTACATGACAGGGACATCCATAAAGTACAACTTTTGCCTAGATCATATTCTTCAAACATTCTTAAATATCTGATTGAGTAATTTCATCAAATTATCTGTTAAAGTAACCATATAAAACTGGCTATTATTAAAAATGTCACTACTGTTATTGTGTCACTACCGTAACAATTAATTCCAATGTCCATGCTATAACAATATCAGTTTCCTTATTTAATTAAAATTGATTTATCTGTTTATGTCTGGAATTTGTGGTAGCAACCTGTTTGGTAGTAGCTTCAAGTAAGCATAATATAATTCATATTCTCATTTTGAATATTTAGCTACAAATTACTTTACATTTGCAAATCAGGGAATGAAAGAACTTTTGTGGCTTGTTGGCCCCTTTTACAAGCAATAAATATAAAATTTCGAAACTCATTAGCCATGTTATGTTGTAAAACTAGATGGTTTAAGACATATATGTACATTAAATAAATATCATCTTTGGATTTTTCTTTCAAAATGATATTACAAATTTCCTAACAGTGGTGACACAATTTCATAGAATTTCTAATAAAGGGGGTAAAATATGAAAATGAAAGATGTTACGTTAACGAAGCTTGCATAATTTATGTTTTGTATGCTCAGACTATGAGGCGTAATCAACTTAACATGTTTTCAAAGTAAAACAAGAATTTGACAAAATTTTGCCCTACCTACAAAATATCTGCGATTTTTAGAATGACTCACTTGCTTCACCTTCAGTCTGAGACAATAACAAACACATGGCCTTGTGTAATATATTTATTATTTAGAGGTATTCTTGTAATTTAATTTAACCGATTATTAATCAGTGATTGATCGGTTGGGCCAAATCGAGGCGTAACTGATGATGCGATTATGAAATCTGGCAATTCCCACCACTAGTCCTATTTAAGTTTACTCTTATTATGTAAATACATACAATGTATTCTATATATATATATAGTGTTCTATGTGCTAGAGTTAACTTGACATACTGTATTGTGATATTGAATGTATGTTCTTAATAAGCTTAATAATGTTGCTGGACTATTGCTTAGCGGCATGAAACTAAACTCATCAGTCTCCACTCATGTTCATCATCAGAGCAAGTGACACAACGAAACTGTGGTCAAATAGTGGGTTGCGTAATGCATAGAATAAGGATGGCAAAATTATTCCATCTGTAATATGGCTCTGGACCACAGAAAGCTAGTGATGGATGTGTAATGACACAGAATTTCTTGATGCATGTTAACCGTCATGAATTGTCAGAACCTTGCATGATAAAGGTTTAGCATGATTAGGAATCTGTACAAGTGCAGCACTAGCTCAACCAATCCCATCAAACTTTTCTTCAAAACCCTATTTCCTCCTTTCCAGCGGTATCTGCTAGCAATAGAAGGTGTGAAGGAGAAGACCGATCTGTCTTGGTGTTGTCTCAGGCTATCGATGACTTGAGAGTCTTGGAGATGTTGATAAGGAGGTTGTCATTAGCATCATGGAACTCCTGCCTACTTACAACTTCCAAAGACTTAGTCAGCTGCCGTGTATCAAAGCAGATCTCATTGACTTTGGCTTTGACACATTTCTCCTGGATGGCATGGGGAGTTGACAGACAGGTGAGTCTTCTTTACATGTTTGGTGTGTGTGTGTGTGTGTGTGTGTGTGTGTGTGTGTGTGTGTGTGTGTGTGTGTGTGTGTGTGTGTGTGTGTGTGTGGTGTGTGTGTGTGTGTGTTTCGTTGTGTGTGTGTGTGTGTGTGTGTGTGTGTAGATGTGGAGTAGGAGGTGCCTTGCTGACACATTTTCTCCTGGTTGTGTAGACTTACATGGCAGAATCTTGCTATGATGTTTATTTGGTGGGGTGAAGTATTTAGGAAGTTTGACAGACAAGGTGAATCTTTGCTATGATGTTTATTTGGTGGGAGTCGCGGTATTTGGGAAGTTTGACAGACAGGTGAGTCTTTCAATGACAGGAAAGCGTTTCTCCTGGGTAATGAGTGTGAGAGAAGGTTTGAGATAAGCAGTTGTGTTTGGTCCCTGTTGATTGATGAATGAATTTATGCACACTGATACGATCTCAAATAATAGTTGATCTCCATATCTCAAATCCAAACTCAAAATATTACTTTGAACTTCAATGCCATTCCCCCTCACATTGGGCCGACACTGAGGTATGATGTAGTAAAGTTGTTGGAGTACCTGTATGTTTGCAGACTAGTGAGTGGTGGAGATGGAGAGTCACACCTGTCTATAGAGCTGCGTGTGTTGTGGAGACAGCTCAAGGTGCGATGACCCTAACAAGGAGGTGATCGTCGGCTCTGCTGATAGCAGCCAAGTCCGTCACTGATGCTGTGGTAGTTGCTGTGCCAGCTGCGTCATTAGAAGAGCGAGAGTCTGATGTTTGAGCCCATGCTGCCTGGAGCGTGCAGAGGCATTGAAGGGAAATGGGTTGGTGGAAAATTATTTTAAGGACACGCAAAAATTACTTCTTTGTCTGATTTGGGATGGTGTGGTAGCCAGTGGTTAAAGCGTTCACTTGTCAAGCTGAAGACCTGGGTTAGATACACATGGATATAATGTGTGAAACCCATTATGGTGATATTATGGTGATATTGTTAGAATATTGATTAAAGCCCCTTAAGCCTGAACTCCGTTGTCTGACTAAGTAATCATATGGAATTTGTGTTTTATTTATTATTATTAAAGAGAACTCAAACTCTGTTTAATTTATGGGTTTTGTATGCTTGTGACTGTACTTCACCTCTTTGAATCCTTGAGAGAAATTTGTAACAGCAGTTAGTCATTTATGTCTTCTCATAAAGATACATGTTCATCCCTCAATTTTCATGATTAATTCATTGTCTTTAAGTTGCCCATGACAATTCAATGATTGAGTTTGCCTCCAGCAACTTAGCATTGTGTGTAATTCAAGGCAACTATAGGGATTGGTCATACAAGGCAACTATATGGATTGGTCATACAAGGCAACTCTTGGTCATCAGACAGTCAGGATCAGTGAATATTTGCTCATACTATCAGTCACTAGTTGTCATCAATTTTTGAATATTTACAGGTCACCATCAGATAGCTGGCTAAGCTACTGACTGCATTATTAATCAAACAAACATTTATCGATTGCTTGTGTCATATTTAAGATGAACTAGAAGATTTTCTCTGGCATGGAATGATTTATAATTTCAGGGACATCGTATGGCAACAAGCTGATTGTTGAGTTTGACGAGGTGTTCTGGCCGACCGATGTGGGAGTGTTTCTATTGGCCGACCGTGATGCAGAGCAGGGAATGATGCAGAAATGGTTGAACATGCACAAACTTGTAGGACCACCTGTCCTCGTCAGTATGATTGGCGGTCCTGCATCACTAAAGTTTGAAAATATGACAGATGAAGAAGTGAAAAGTCTGGGTAAGTAATGGAAATGCATCCACAGGTCAGTCTGCCAGGATACATTCCATGTTGGTACAATTGTATTGTCAGCTTTGCTGGACATACATGACATCTTAAACTGTCTGACCGTGAAGATCCGGCTACACAGTTAGTCCCTGATGCTAAAATGTGCTTGTCTTGCAGTGTGTGAAAGCCTCACTACACTGTTAGTCCCTGATGCTAAAATGTGCTTGTCTTGCAGGTGTGTGAAAGCCTCACTACACTGTTAGTCCCTGATGCTAAATGTGCTTGTCTTGCAGTGTGTGAAAGCCTCACTGCACTGTTCGTCCCTGATGCTAAATGTTAGCTTGTCTTGCAGTGTGTGAAGCCTCACTACACTGTTGCGTCCCTGATGCTAAATGTGTTTGTCTTGCAGTGTGTGAAAGCCTCACTACACTGTTAGATCCCTGATGCTAAATGTGCTTGTCTTGCAGTGTGTAGAAGCCTCACTACACAGGTTAGTCCCTGATGCTAAATGTGCTTGTCTTGCAGTGTGTGAAAGCCTCACTACACTGTTAGATCCCTGATGCTAAATGTGCTTGTATTCCTGTGTGTGAACATCTGACTACACTGTTCTGTCACTGATGCTAAATGTGCTTGTATTGCTGTGTGTGAACATCTGACTACACTGTTCGTCCCTGATGCTAAATGTGCTTGTAATGCTGTATGTGAACATCTGACTACACTGTTTGTCCCTGATCCTAAATGTGCTTGTATTGCTGTATGTGAACATCTGACTGCACAGTTCATCACTGATGCTAGATGTGCTTGTATTGCTGTGTGTGAACATCTGACTACACTGTTAGTCCCTGATGCTAGATGTGCTTGTATTGCTGTCGTGAGCGTCTCACTACACTGTTCAGTGTCTGATGCTAGATGTGCTTGTATTTGCTGTGTGTGTGCACGCCTCACTACACTGTTAGGTGTCTGATGATAGATGTGCTTGTATTGCAGTGTGTGAACATCTCACTACACTGTTCGTGTCTGATACTAGATGTGCTTGTATTGCTGTGTGTGAACGCCTCACTACACTGTTCCTGTCTGATGCTAGATGTGCTTGTATTGCGGTCGCGTGAACGCCTCACTACACTGTTAGTGTCTGATACTAGATGTGCTTGTTATTGCGGTGCGTGAGCGTCTCACTACACTGTTCGTGTCTGATACAAGTTGTGCTTGTATTGTAGTGCGCGAACGTCTCACTACACTGTTCGTGTCTAATACTAGATGTGCTTGTATTGCTGTGTGTGAGCGCCTCACTACACTGTTTGTGTCTTAGGCTAAATGTGCTTGTATTGCAGTGCGTGAACATCTCACTACACTGTTCGTCCCTGATGCTAAATGTGCTTGTATTGCTGTGTGTGAATGTCTCACTACACTGTTCGTGTCTGATGCTAGATGTACTTGTATTGCAGTCGTGAGGCGTCTCACTACACTGTTAGGTGTCTGATACTAGATGTGCTTGTATTGCTGTGTGTGAGAGCGCCTCACTACACTGTTAGGTGTCTGATGCTAGATGTGCTTGTATTGCAGTGCGTGGAACGCCTCACTACACTGTTAGGTGTCTGATACTAGATGTGCTTGTATTGCAGTGCGTGAACGTCTCTCACTACACTGTTAGGTGTCTGATGCTAGATGTGCTTGTATTGCAGTCGTGAGCGCTCACTACACTGTTAGGTGTCTGATGCTAAATGTGCTTGTATTGCGGTGTGTGAATGTCTCACTACACTGTTCGCGTCTGATGTTAAATGTGCTTGTAATGCAGTGTGTGAATGTCTCACTACACTGTTCGTGTCTGATGCTAAATGTGCTTGTAATGCAGTGTGTGAATGTCTCACTACACTGTTAAGTAGGTGTCTGATGTTAAATGTGCTTGTAATGCAGTGTGTGAATGTCTCACTACACTGTTCGTGTCTGATGCTAAATGTGCTTGTATTGCTGTGTGTGAATGTCTCACTACACTGTTCGTCTCTGATGCTAAATGTGCTTGTATTGCTGTGCGTGAATGTCTCACTACTCTGTTCGTGTCTGATGCTAAATGTGCTTGTATTGCTGTGCATGAATGTCTCACTACACTGTTAGTCCCTGATGCTAAATGTGCTTGTATTACAGTGTGTGAACGTCTCACTACTCTGTTAGTGTGTCTGATGCTAGATGTGCTTGTATTGCAGTGCGTGAGCGTCTCACTACACTGTTAGGTGTCTGATGCTAAATGTGCTTGTATTGCAGTGTGTGAATGTCTCACTATACTGTTAGGTGTCTGATGCTAACTGTGCTTGTATTGCTGTGTGTGAATGCCTCACTACACTGTTAGTCCCTGATGCTAAATGTGCTTGTATTGCTGTGTGTGAATGTCTCACTACACTGTTAGGTAATCTAATACTAGATATTAGCGTATTGCTGTGCGTGAATGCCTCACTACACTGTTAGGTGTCTGATGCTAAATGTTTGCTATTGCAGTCGTGAGCGTCTCACTACACTGTTAGTCCTGATGCTAAATGTGCTTGTATTGCTGTGTGTGAATGTCTCACTACACTGTTAGGTGTCTGATGCTAGATGTGCTTGTATTGCAGTGCGTGAGCGCCTCACTACACTGTTAGAGTGTCTGATGCTAAATGTGCTTCTATTGCAGTGTGTGAATGTCTCACTACACTGTTAGGTGTCTGATGTTAAATGTGCTTGTAATGCAGTGTGTGAATGTCTCACTACACTGTTAGGTGTCTGATGCTAAATGTGCTTGTAATGCAGTGTATGAATGTCTCACTACACTGTTAGGTGTCTGATGTTAAATGTGCTTGTAATGCGGTGTGTGAATGTCTCACTACACTGTTAGTCCCTGATGCTAAATGTGCTTGTATTGCAGTGTGTGAATGTCTCACTACACTGTTAGGTAATCTAATACTAGATGTGCTTGTATTGCTGTGCGTGAACGCCTCACTACACTGTTAGGTGTCTGATGCTAAATGTGCTTGTATTGCAGTCGTGAGCGTCTCACTACACTGTTAGTCCCTGATGCTAAATGTGCTTGTATTGCTGTGTGTGAATGTCTCACTACACTGTTAGTGTCTGATGCTAGATGTGCTTGTATTGCAGTCGCGTGAGCGCCTCACTACACTGTTAGTGTCTGATGCTAAATGTGCTTCTATTGCGGTGTGTGAATGTCTCACTACACTGTTAGGTGTCTGATGTTAAATGTGCTTGTAATGCAGTGTGTGAATGTCTCACTACACTGTTAGGTGTCTGATGCTAAATGTGCTTGTAATGCAGTGTATGAATGTCTCACTACACTGTTAGGTGTCTGATGTTAAATGTGCTTGTAATGCGGTGTGTGAATGTCTCACTACACTGTTGCGTGTCTGATGCTAAATGTGCTTGTAATGCAGTGTATGAATGTCTCACTACTCTGTTAGCGTCTGATGTTAAATGTGCTTGTAATGCAGTGTGTGAATGTCTCACTACACTGTTAGGTGTCCTGATGCTAAATGTGCTTGTATTGCTGTGTGTGAATGTCTCACTACACTGTTAGATCTCTGATGCTAAATGTGCTTGTATTGCTGTGTGTGAATGTCTCACTACACTGTTAGGTGTCTGATGCTAGATGTGCTTGTATTGCTGTGTGAGCGCCTCCTTAACTGTTTGTCCCTGATGCTAGATGTGCTTGTATTGCTGTGTGTGAGCGTCTCACTACACTGTTAGTCCCTGATGCTAGATGTGCTTGTATTGCAGTGTGTGAACATCTCACTACACTGTTCGATCCCTGATGCTAGATGTGCTTGTATTGCAGTGTGTGAACATCTCACTACACTGTTCGTCCCTGATGCTAGATGTGCTTGTATTGCTGTGTGTGAACATCTCACTACACTGTTAGATCCCTGATGCTAGATGTGCTTGTATTGCTGTGTGAGCGCCTCCTTAACTGTTAGATCCCTTATGCTAGATGTGCTTGTATTGCTGTGTGAGGCGCCTCACTACACTGTTAGTCCCTGATGCTAAATGTGGTTGTATTGCTGTAGCGTGAGCGCCTCACTACCTGTTAGGTGTCTGATGCTAAATGTGCTTGTTCTACGGTGAGTGAGCGCCTCACTACACTGTTTGTCCCTGATGCTAAATGTGCTTGTATTGCAGTCGCGTGAATGCCTCACTACACTTCTCCGTGTCTGAGGTTATATGTGCTTGTACTACAGTGAGTGAGCGCCTCACTACACTGTTTGTCCCTGATGCTAAATGTGCTTGTATTGCAGTGCGTGAGGCAGCCTCACTACACTGTTAGTGTGTGCTGGGGTTATATGTGCTTGTACTACAGTGGTGAGCGCCTCACTACACTGTTAGTCCCTGATGCTAAATGTGCTTGTATTGCAATGCGTGAGACGCCTCACTACACTGTTCATCCCTGATGCTAAATGTGCTTGTATTGCTGTGCGTGAGTGAGCGTCTCACTACACTGTTTGTCTCTAATGCTAAATGTGCTTGTATTGCAGTTCATGAACGTCTCACTACACTGTTTGTCTCTAATGCTAAATGTGCTTGTATTGCAGTGCGTGAACGTCTCACTACACTGTTTGTCTCTAATGCTAAATGTGCTTGTATTGCAATGCATGAACGTCTCACTACACTGTTTGTCTCTAATGCTAAATGTGCTTGTATTGCAGTGCGTGAACGTCTCACTACACTGTTTGTCTCTAATGCTAAATGTGCTTGTATTGCAGTGCATGAACGTCTCACTACACTGTTTGTCTCTAATGCCAAATGTGCTTGTATTGCAGTGCGTGAACGTCTCACTACACTGTTTGTCTCTAATGCTAAATGTGCTTGTATTGCAGTGCGTGAACGTCTCACTACACTGTTTGTCTCTAATGCTAAATGTGCTTGTATTGCAGTGCGTGAACGTCTCACTACACTGTTTGGCCCTGATGCTGAGTCAAGGGAGATAGTAAAACTTCTGCGTTCAAGTTGGAAAAGCACAGTGTATTCTGGGCTAGGCAACTCATACCCTAAAGTTGGTAAGTATTGTTATGTGGTCTGCTTGTAATAGAGGTATTGTTCTGATAGTATCCCTTGTGGTGGTTGTATCATATCAGTTGAGTAAATATCTGCATCACGTTTTGGCTTTCCTAAGCGTATCAAGTTGTCATGCTATGAAGAAAATGTATCTGGTGGGCCGAAGTTCTTGAAAGGCATTCAGAAGTTGGATGAACATGAATACATGACATGTTTCTATGAATAACAACTTGGTTTTATTCTTCACCGCGACGTTTCACCTAATGAAGGAGCAAAATTAAGCGCTGAAGCGTCGTGTAAAGAGTGAAAAGAAGTTGTTATCCATGAAAACATGTCATGTATTCATATCTGTGAGGGCGTTGGGGTAGCCTAATGGTTAAAGCGTTGGCTCGTCACGAAGAAGACCAGGTTTGAATCCCCACATGGCTACAATGTGTGAAGCCCATTTCTGGTGTCCCCGCCGTGATGTTGCTGGAATATTGCTAAAGCGGCGTAAAACCAAACTTAGTCAGTCAGTCAGTCATATCTATGGCCACTGAATTCTGATTTAAACTGTGCTTGGACTGAATAGTTGTTAATTTGGCTTTCTCCAGGCAATGATATCAGCATGTGGAACACATTGTCAGAGCCGCTGTGCCCATATATCTACTTTGCCGGGGAGCACACTATATTCAAAGGAATCGGTACACTCCATGGTGCTTACAACTCAGGCATTAGGGCTGCTGAACAAATAATGTCTGAACTGTGTGAGCAGCGAGCTAGAAGAAGAGAGAGGAGAAGGCAGGAAGAAGAAGGAAGAGGAAGAGAAGGAAGAAAAGAAAGAAAGAAGAAAAAGAAGATAAAACTAAAAGAGTGAGAAGAAAGATGAGTTGTAACTAGTTGGAATTTTGATAACATCTGTTATTTTGAAACACATTTGTACAGTTAAAGAATGAAAGAGTGGTGTGCGTGCCATGTAGCCCAGACAAATGATTATGATTGTATATTCAGCTCATGAAGAACTAATCAACAGAGATGATATGTAAAACATAGCAGTTTATATGATGATGTATCTGTCAGTATTACCAGAATTACATTGCTTGTAGAGGGGCTTCAGTTGTATCTGCCTAACTTCACAGTAAGTCATGTGACTGATAAGATCAGGCAAGTCTTGGTTGTTTCTTGGTCTACAGTTTATTTGTGACTGAAGAATATTTGGTTACCATGCTTACCCTGAAACAGAAAAAGATGTTTCTAATTATAATTGATTTTGTTAAACAGTTATATCGTGATAATGGGGAAAGTTTAGTGTGTCTTGCAGATTAACTGATATCCTTGCTACTTATCCTATAATTGAATGGACAGTTGTTTGATCAATGTATACAAGTTTGTCCTTTCAGACTTATGTGAGTATGTATGGGTTAAATTACCTATATAAATGATGAGGTAGTTTCCAACCTATATTTCTGGTCCCAACCGACAAAGACTGTTACCCACATGTCTGGGTGTTATCTTAACATTCTGGGGCAGTGGGGTAGCCTAATGGTTGTAGCTTTGGTTTGTCACGTCGAAGAACCAGGTTTGATTCCCATTTCTGGTGTCCCCTGCCGTGATATTGCTAAATGCCGCATTAGACCATACTCACTCACTCCACACACCTAAGCATTCCAAATCTTGGGGTCATCAAGTGACGACTTGTCAGTAGGTCACCATGACTCTTTGTTTTTGAGGGGTGTCACAGACATTTGAAGGGTCATCATCAGCCTGTCATAGTTTTACATTATTTTGATTACTGCCTACCCATGCTGTTCACTGCAAATGATAATGTCAACTATTACGTCAGACCTATTCCAAGAATACATTGTGATATGGCCACTGTGTATCTTTATTGACTATGTATTCAGCGGCATCCGATTCTTGTTAACACGATATCTCATGAACTGTTGTACCCAATGCCTTCAAGTTTGGTGACAGCCTACATTGGGGATTACACAGAAACCAGTCCATTTGGGTGACCTTGACCTTATCGTCAAGGTCACAACAACACTGAACACTTTTAAACTGTTGTTAGCAGCGGCATCTCATGCACTGTTGTATCCAATGTCTTAAAATTTGGTGACAGCCTACATTGGTGTATTACGCAGACATCAGGTGATTTGGGTGAACTTGACCTTATCTTCAAGGTCACCACGACACTTTGATCACTTTTCAAACTTATGTAAACGTGATATCTCATGAAACATTGCACCCAATGTCTTCAATTATGTCGACAGCCTACATTGGGTGATTATGCAGACACCAGTCATTTCAGGCATCTTGTATGTGACAAAAAAATAAAAAGTAGTAAATATGTCATAAATATTCCATTCATTAGCAGCGGGGGACATTAACATATCAGTGGCAAACACTTGTTAGAATGTAAATTAACTTCAAGTTAAGCCATGTAACTTGAAATATTTTTATTGTCATGTAATCTATATAATGATATTTAAAAACAATAATGTTTGTACTTTTGATAATGTCAGAAGGTTGTGGTGTGAGGCATGTTTAGCCATTGATATCATTGTTTACTTTTGCCAAAAGTTTGCCATGTGTTTTATTTGTATGTATGGTGGTGACTGATCTATATTTGCGGTGTCTGGGAGTATCTGGATGAACTTGAAATGAGTTTCTACCCACAATAAGGGCACATTTGAAAACCTTTGAATGCTTTTGAATTCAAGTGTTTGCTCATCGTGCTGAAGACATGGCTTGATCCACAACATGGGTACAATGTGTGAAGCTCATATCTGGCGTCTCCTTCCCTTCCCCGCTCTCGTTGTGATATTGCTGGAATATTTCTAACAGTGGCGTAATCCACACTCACTGACTTTATAATTTCATGTAAACAGTGTATCATGTAATCCAGAAGGAGAATGCAGGATCAGATTTATACATGTTATGTCCATTAGAAGGCATGTTGACTTATCCAGAGTTATTGAATAATCAGGTAGTTTTCACATATCATGAGTATTTGCCAAGTGCTGCTTTATCCCCTGCCTGGCAGAGTAAACCGATGTTTATGTCAATGTATTGTACCAGTATTGAGTACAAGTGGTAGGAAATGTAATCTGAGGGAGTGGTAGGGTAGCCTAGCGGTTAAAGCGTTTGTTTGTTGAACTGAAGACCTGGGTTCCATTCCTCACAATGTGTGAAGCCCATTTCTGGTGTCCCTGGCCATGATATAGCTAGAATATTGTTAGCAGAGACATGAATTAATTCTAGACATGTAGTGTTTTATGTGATCCAGAAGTAGTATGTAGGAACAGAGATGCCCAGTAGAATAGCAGGTTGTAATGTTGACTTATCCAGAGCTTCTACATGTCATGGTGAGTATTTATCCTTTGCTTGGCAGAGTTAACCAACTCGCGTATGTCAGTGTAAAAATATTGAGTACAAGTGGAAGGAAATCTGTTTTGTGTATGCAATGATGAATATATACCAAGCACAATAGGATGGAAAAATGAACATGTTTGAAACCTGATGGTCAGTCATTGATTGTGATAAAAATCAGTGTTGAATTTTAAGAAAATTTGAAATACATCAAATTACACAGATTAGTTGAAAGAGTCAAAAGAACACTTGAAGATTGCAAGTTACAATGAATTATGTCTTCAATCTAGCACCATTTCTTGCAAATAGAGGGCGATGGGGTAGCCTAGTGGTTAAAGCGTTCACTCGTCACGCCGAAGACCGGGTTCGATTACCCACATGGGTACAATGGGTGAAGCCCATTTCTGGTGTCCCCTGCCGTGATATTTTGCTCGAATATGCTCCAAAGTCAGTCCTTACTCACTCTTGCAAATAGTATTGAAATCAGTGTGAATTGGCTTTAATATAACCTGGTAGATTAAATATTCATTTATACAATGTACTTTCCTTAAGGTAACATTTCAAGATTTACAAGTAGGATGGAAATAGGTCTAGAATTTGACACTTCTTACAAGTAGTATTCCAAACTTAAGGGGCTAATTGTTGCGTGCAGTAAACAGGTTTATGAAAAGAAAGGAAAAAGGTCAAAGGAAACATACTGATAATAATTTATTGGAAGTAGTGTTGCTAAGGTATTCAACACTTAGTAAAGGGCTTGGCTCTTCTCTTATGAAGATCTGGCTTTGTTAAGTTCTAACAGTGTCATACTTATGCTGTTTTCAGTGCCTTGTATGGTGATAAACATACATTTGTTACACATGTGTATTTTTGAAAGATCATTTTTTAATTAAACATCACTGAAAAATAATCAGTTCATTTTTGTCTTGTCGTATTTCAGAGGGGTGAATGACAAGTTCTTAGCCTCATACAGAAAGATTTTACAAAGACATTTGATTGAAAAAGCATGTCACCTTCCAGAAAGACAGAGGTCATAACCTTCCAACTCTAAGGACTGTCTTTTCTCTCTCTGGTGGCGATGTCTAGCAGTTTCGCTAATTGACTGAGAGAACATCGCGCAAATGTGAACCCGAGATTCTGTGTCAGAGAGAGAGGAGGTTGTGTCAGTAGAATTAATGTACCTGAGAAAGTCTTTCCGTTCATATATCATATTCTTCTCGATTTAAAATTATTTGGGGTCCCATTGTTACCTTTACCATAGCAACTGACGGTTTGTAGGCGACATGTCAGACCAAATCGTTTGTTGTTTTGAATACAATATTTCATGCTAATTGTACACGATTTCCGGAAACTGGCTTATAAAAATACCCATAGAAGAAATAAATAGATCCGTTATATGTTAACATAAGTCCAACTTGCAGAGAATTCATGAGTATACCATTTATTCGTTATGGGCTGATATCCAGGCATCCAGCTGGAACTTCATTGGCCTTTCCTCAGTGTCAAAGCAATTGCAGGAACGCGACCTTTGTCTTGAGCAAAGGTCATCTTGACAGCATTGGCATTCTTGAGGATGGCAGTAGGTACATGGTACTCTATTGTTGCCCAAAGCCTCTGGGTGTCCTTGTTACTGGGGTTGTGTAGTATGTAGTATGACTGCAGCTTAATTCCATTAATTGTCGTTGAAACCGGAATATAATTGGCGGCATGATCCAGTAAACTTACTGAAATCACGAAGTCTAGCAGTCATGATCGCGATGAAGATCACTGCTGTGGAGCATGATGTTCGCGTGAGTTGTTTTACTGTGTATTGTAAGCAGCATGTTGTCTCCATAATGTACAGTTTAAGTAGACCAAAGGAACGTGATTAAACGTGTGACCCGTTGGGAACTGTAGGAAGCATGTGGCTTCTGGAGGGACAGTCACCTGATTTCCCTTGACGTGAACAGGTACTTCCCTGTCCAGTTGAGTGGCCCTCCTGTTGTTGAGGTACAGACAGGTTGATGTCCGTGGGTCAACGTTACCCATCCTTTGTCAAAAGCTAGTGTCACATTAGCTTGAGCTGTGTCATAGTTGTGTAGCAGAACGGTTAGCATTTTGGAACTTGGTTCCACAAGTGCATGACTCTGTATCTGCCGCTCTGCCTGGTGGAACTGACTCTCGGATCTGAGGAACTTCATACTGCTGGTGATATTCTCCCACAGGTGGAAGGCCAGAGCTATGTCTCTCTCGTGGTAATGCTTGTCCAGGATACTATAGTTGATGCTTTCTTGGCCTTTCCGATCAGTGTAAAAGAGGAGGAAGGAAACTGCCCTATCCACCACATATCGAAGCTCAAGAAAGGTGAATATATTCGAGTTGTGAAGGTTGATGTAGGCCCAGTCCAGGAAGGTCGATGGTTTCTGGACATCGATGCCTGTGACCGTTGATAGACCATGAGCGGAGAATATGACTGGAATATCCTTGCCTGTCATCATATTGGCATATGTTTCTACCATGTCCACCGTTCCAACCATCCTAGCCTCATTCGGGCCGTAAAAGTGATGCCTGCTTCCCTGAACGCTGAAGTGATTGAAAGGATGGAATGAAAAAAAGTCGAACAGTCCAAGAGACATATTCATGAATTGTGTCATTGTGCTCCATTTTTTAAAGTCCCATTTATCCATTGTCGTTATTCCAGCAGTAAAGGCAGGCCCTCCTATTTGTATCTTGGGGTGTATGGCTTTTACCTTCTTGGCCACAAGCTCGAATACATTCACTATGGTGGTCCAGTCGACGTCCAACTTTCCAAGAGTGTTCGGTTCATTGATTGGTTCAAAATAGGGAGGGACTGCGCCGTTAGTGCCGTTGTATATTGCCTGAACGTGCAGAGATATGGTTTCTGCGGCTGCATCCAGATTGTTTGGAAAATGGCCATTGTGGGCTGATGTGTCCATCCAGGGAGGCCATAGGTAACCTGTGGAAGATATGTCTGTTATACTTTTATGTGTTGTGTAAAGACATGTCAGTTTTTCACCAGGTCCTGTAAAACTTCGGAAGATATCGTATCTATGTGCAAATGATAGGGACAAAACCAATTCTATATTCATGAGGAATCTCTGCCAAATGTCGAGTTGACAATACTATTCCGACATTTCCATGAGCTTGTATTTATGAAGTACTATCAAACATTGATGATACCAGCTCGTCACGCTGAAAACCCGGGTTCGATTCCCCACATTGGCACAATGTGTGAAGCCCATTTCTGGTGTCCCCCACCGTGATATTGCTGGAATATTGCTAAAGCGGCGTAAGCGCCAACTCACTCACTCACCCATTATATGTGCTCGATCTGGTTCAAGCCTGGGGAAGGGGAAATTCAGGTCATGACACCAGCAGCAGCGTTATGCAAGACGTTGCGCCTCAGTACCGATGCATGTTGTCATGCTGGAATGTTAGTCTCGTGCTGCAAGAATGGCAGAAGGTCTGGGGTCACATCATCCCGATACCATATGGCAGTAAGGATACCCTGGACGACATTCAACTGAGATCCGCCTTTGGCACAGATTGGACTCCAAACCACTACGCAGCCCCCTCCACAAGCGGTCAGTCTCACTAACACAACACGTAACTTCCCACTATCCTGCCCCACACCCGTACACTGTCATGAGCAGAGGGCAATGTGTAACGTGCCTCATCGCTGAAGACAATCATGCATCTGGTTGAATCTATCTTTCTGCGGTTCCATCATAGACGTTGAGCAGGATGAAAGTGCAGGATGAAGTCAGAATAGGTACTGTGTATGATCGTCTAGTTCAGATATCTGTGGTGCGTAGTCGATTCCTGACGTTGATTTTGAAGAGTTGTCTGTTAGTTACGACAAAACGTTTTTTTAACAAACGTGCAATTTTGATTTTTAGCGATGTGCTTGCATTCCGATGCACGTGCTGACGCTAAGGCAATTGAGCGTCTTGCTGGCTGGAAGTGACTGGTGTTTCACGATTTATTTTCGGTTTCATCATTTTCATGATATATTTATTAGTTCCTCCTCTCAATTATTACCAATAATATAGGTGTCAAGTTTCGGATTTTGTTAAGTGCTATACATGAAACATATGACATTCCCTTGCTGTGATTTTGCCAATCCAGTCAGATCAGCAAGAAGGGGGGGATAACTCATTCGAATGGCGTACTACGTGCATGTATATTGTATCACAAACATTTCACTTCATCATTGATAAAATTCATCATTTTCCATCTTGTTTTCTGAATGATCTTCAGATGACACTTGCTTTCCTTGTTGACACATGACACTGCACCTCTGAAGATATACCGCTGTAAGGCGGTAACTACATCGACCTAACTATATCCAGAGCCCTGCCTCTGCTATATCGCACACACACTTTTTATCAGCATATGTACGCTTCCTTTGACTTACCTTTCAGTTCAAGCATAATTGGTTTGTCTTTTCCATATCTATTCAAATTGTCAAGATATTTCTCAACCAACTGTTGTTGAAACTGCTTGTTTTGGAAGAAGGCAGGGTTCGGATACCCCTTTCGCTTTGGATCCTCGGTCACCTATAAGAAACTAGAACTGTAAGAGTATATATTAATATCTTAGGACACGATAGTTAAATACCGACAGTGTAAATTCAGTGTCAGGCTACGCTCAGTGCTATATATAAATATTCACCCAATGATTTTTGGGGCATATTTGAAAGCAAATGCACCATGAAATATAACAGACCATATTTTTTACTGAGCCTACACTGAAAACAGATTCTGATTCTTTCACGGCCTGAATAGAGCCATGATCATTTGTAACACACGTACTTTGTCAAAATAGCTCAAGTCTGAATTCAGCCATCTTCCAGTACGTGCTCCTGTTTTCTTCACATAGGGCAAACTCCCTTTAGAGTCCAGACCCATTTTGCCATTCCACCTATCAGGGTCGAAGTTGGTTCTTCCTCCCTGTACGAGGTACTCAGGGTAAATGGTCACTGTGTACCCCGCTACACATTGTAGGGCACAGAAAGCAAGGACAGTGGCCAGCAACATGTTGGTCCAGATGGTAGTTCTATCGTCTTGTGTCAAGAGCTTGTAATGTCGTTAGCCGCACCTGTCTGGTGTCCTTGATTACTTTTATACTGTTATTATCTCTATAGATAAGGCATCACGTAAGGTAAATTCCACATGCATGTTTAAACCATGTGATCACAGGAATTTTTCTCAGGCTTTTCTCAAAGATATGCGGTCCATTATGTAACATAAACATTATTTGATATGCAAGATATTGCACTAGTAATTAAGGATATAATGGGTTTAATGGGCGATAATGGTATTTTGTTTGTTGTTTAACGCCTCAGTCAGCAATATATCCGGCTATATGATGCCGGTTTGTAATATTCAAGTTGGACTAGACAATACATTGATTGACATGTATGTATGTATGTATGTATGTATGTGTGTGTGTGTGTGTGTGCGTGCGCGTGCGCGTGCGTGCGTGCGTGCGGCAATGTTCAAAATTCTGCCGATAATTCCAAAGACTAGGACAACGTGATAAATGTCAGCAGATCGCTGGTCAGTCAGCGGTCCATTCACTCTGGTTAATGTGTGATGACATCCTACACGATGACACTGCTGCTCCCATACCGACCATTGTCGTGAATTCATGTTACCGCTCACCTCTGCCGCGCTGAAAACATCTTCTGCCAGCTTCGTCTTAGAAAGACAGAGAATTTGTTAAACTGGCATAGTGGGATAAACTCAGTGATCACCAAGTGTCCCCTGATTACACACAGGGGGCGAGAGACACGAGTTGGCACCTTGGGGTGGTTCTTAAAACATATTTCGAGAGAAAAGGTATGAATGCTATAATTTGTACAACAGACTTATTGTGAATATCATCATCTACTCACATTACCGAAATATGTGAGACGGCAATACCCACCCCGAAGCAGATCCCTATCCGGTGCAGAGGCACGTGATACCAGCAGACGACAAGGAAGTGCAGACGATATTGAGGAATGCTAGGGACGTGGCCGTGAGCAGTTTTCAGAAAGGATGAAAACGTCAGTTTGGCAAAATATAACTTTTTCAAATGGAAACCCGAATCACACCGAAAGTGGCAATAAAAGAAACAATGATGGCAATAATGTTTCATTCTTATGTCGGAATGTAAACGGCCTCTTTCCCAAGTTATGTCAGTGTAAAAATATGGCGGATTTGTGTGATTCACTTGCATTTATGCGCGTTTGATTACAAACAAGAGAAAAGTCCGGTCACGTGATATGCCAATTAGCCTGTGGCAGTGATGTTATGTTAAGTCATCGCTGTGCCGGAGTGTGCATCTGCCTTTGAGAGTAAACTTAACCAAACCACGTGACACATCATGTGACCACAGTCCATCCGAGCCTGCACTCGCATATACCAGCAACATCAAGACGTTAGAAGAAAAACGGAAGGGTGAGTTTGCTCAAAGTATTTATGAAAATATCAACACTTCTAGTAAGGAATTATTTGTTACATTGTTACATCTTATAGCAATACTGCTACCCAAAGTGTTATAAATAATAAGCAGTTCTAATGGAGAAGCACATCACCCTACGAGGCTATGTACACAACACTCAGTTGGTAATTTATGTACACCTCATGTATAGCTACATTCGAATATTTAGTTACCCAGTTTTGTCGGTAGTAGACATGTACGCCCGAAAATGCATTACTTATGCAGAAGAAAAAGATATTTTTCACCAACATCCAGATGCTGAAATAGTACAACGCCGCGGCTGCAGCCGGGTCTTCATCATTAATCAGAGAAACACAGGAGCCAATAATCAACGTGCAAATCACCAAATAGATTTCTAAGGTGTTTTCATGAACTTGTGAATATTCAGATTTAGTTATTCCTATGGATTCCTTACTTTAAAGATATATGTCACACTTATTGTCATTTGGTATTAAGAACGCAACTTTCACGATTGTATTTAACAATTCACTTTGCATGTGGTTACTTATCGTACGAAATAAGTGGACTATATCAGCGAGACAGCGTGGGCAATCTACCGGCAACAGAGAACACAATGGGCTCAATTACAAATTGGTCGAATTGACCTGCCGACACAAAGTCCGAGGGGTCAGACATTTGTCATCTCTCCGGGGTATTCTCGACTAATACTATTCAAATAATTGAATAGTCCATCCAATGCACCCTTTTCTGCTGGGCTTGGGTTCACTAAAGTATTCAGACAGACCCTTCCAGGCATGACAGGGCTTATGTGGGTCTTCCCAATTCAATTCCTTTATTGTCATTCAACCACCATCGGTGGTACAAGAGAAGACAGTACATATAAATTATGCGTACAAAAACAAGGTGAAGGTGAATTTTGGTTATATGTGGTGAAGTTGAATATGACGACTTTAGTTTTTGAGACGTTAACGTAAGCTTCCATTGTTGACAATAACTTGCGAAATTATCTAAAGTATTTTGTAAAAGAACTGTGTTGTCACTCATTAGTACAGTGTCGTCAGCATATAACAATAACAGAAACTTAATCCCAGTTTCACCTGTTTTCGGCGACGTAACAGCGATTCGCGGTACATATGTAACCATGCTATCGTAATAAAAATATTTTACATTCAAGACAAAGTACGTTAGCCAAGGTGTTTCCTCTTACTTTTTTATGATTCTCTCGGCTTTGTCGGTTGAGCAAGGCCGCCATGACCGTAACGTTCTATATTTGGCAACTTGAGCATTACGTCACCAGTTTTAAACGATAACGTTATACACAGAATATCTATGGTGTTCCAATGTGGATATAATTCATCAAGGCAAATTCGTGTCTTCTAGTCACTTGTAAATCTTTAAGAGTTAAAATAAAATGTCAGTTCAACAATTTCAAGCACAGATAACGATGAAATCCAAACAGGTTATATACACTGTTGATGACAGTTTATGAATGCAGTTCACTCTTCCACTGGGCTGTGATCACAGTGGGGACAGAAAAATGCCGCATGTGTAAGTAAAACGGTGACACTTGTACAAAAGACAAGGTGAACCCAGTGACCACATTTGTCACACTGTGCCCATTTCACAAACGTGATTAAGTCACAACGATGCAATGCATCAGGTGTAAATTTCCGCACACACAGCAAACTTCGTTGTCATCAGTTGCACTGTCGGAAAAACTGTCTGAGAAGGTTGTTGATGGGGGCGGAGCGTTGCGTTTCTTGCGTGCAGGTCCTTTCCCTTTTGACTTATTCTAGGCAGAATTCCATTTAGACAACAGGGACGATGTGGACAACGATGTAGTGCCGCTTGACTTCTTCTTCCCCTTGCCGACTTCCTTATCAGCCTTCCGTTTCTGTGGATGCTGTTTCTTGTGCTCGGCTATCCTGTCAACAACTGCCTGATCAGTGATGACTTTCCCGCCAACGATTTTACTGATGGTGTTCCTTGGCTTGTATGTTTGAACATTTCTCAAAACTTCTCCACCCCGACATTCCAAGAATGTCCTTGCAGTATCCAGTCTGTCGTCGGTGTCCTGTACGAGCGTACCTGTTGAACTTGAAACCGCGGGTGTCGGTGTAGAGAAAGATCGGGCCGGCATTACAGCCAAGTCATCAATCCCTTCGGGGTTGAGGGGGAAGATTCCTGATTTTGTGAAAGATGACAAAATGTTAACAGGACTTAACGTTGAGTTGAAAACACGACATGCTATGCTGCATATATCACGCTTTCCGATAGCTTTTCCAGAGTTCACTCTTAAAGGTCACATAAACCCTAGGGGGTACAAATACATAAAACACTAACTGGCATCGTTATAAATGAAACCCCGTCATTAAAACTACTCATTTCGACCTTTAATTGACTTAAATCGACCTTTTTGACAACAGTGCACAATTCTCACCCGCGAACGAAATTTCAACCAATCAGGGCGGCGCGCCTCTGTGACGTCATATGAGGAATAGCTTTGAGGGCCGATGCAGAATTCATCTACATTTTAGGGGTTAAATTATCTTGTTTACAGGCTTGTATAAACCTGAAATCGTGACAATTGTTGTGGAAAATGAAAGCTATATGTTCTCACAATCTACTGTCATTTAATTTTGTCTCCTGCTTTGCCTAGTTTCCGAGTTACAACTTGTTTTCAAAGACGATTCTGTCAAAATCGATTGGTGTCGTTAGGCCCTATTTGTATAATGACTGATCCAAATTGATCCCATTTCTGTGTTTTTTACCTCGATATTTAATCATGTCATGTAAAAATCTGTTTGTATTCTCAAAACAGTGTCGGCCCATAAGTTTTCACATGCAATACAGCAATTAATACTCCCTTGTTGTAACCCGTGTTAGGTGGTATAAACCTACACGTTACTTGTCATCATTCACTTGATGGTCAGTTAATGAATTTATAACAGGTATAATTAGTGGTAACACACTTAGATTACCCGACAAAGGTTCCCATTTGGCATTTCTTGTGTCTGGAGTAAATATTCAACATTATAAACATCGATCAAAGGATTAACCGATAACACGCTGATTGATTAATTACTTTTATCTTACACAGCGGAATTGTCAAAAGGTAGTGTTTATGTGTGTAGATTTACTAATCTATACTGAATACACTCTGTCGCGTCTGCGTAAAAACAACGTCCTTCTTTCAAAGGATTAACCGGCAATACATTGATTGCCCATTATTGGCTAACTAATTTACTGTTTTTAAAGAAAGGCGGACATTATGCAATTAGTTGCCAGGTGTGCTATCTTGGGTGACCAATGAGACTACACACCAACACCTGAAAAGATTTATCACTTTTTCGTATATTAAACTGTTAAAAGACACATCATTTGGAACAGCTTTGTGGATATTGATGGATACATTCCCCGAACAAGGTAATGGCCTGATATTGTTCTTATAACTTTAATCTGTTTTAATTTTAATATTTGCATTTTGTTTTTATTCATTTGTCGTAGCATTCAACAGAATCATTGTTTTCGCCGTGAAGTGTAATGAGACAGACAACATGCACTAGGGTGTGTGTGCGCGAATTATGATTCACATTGGCAAACTATAAAATGTCTAGATATTACAGTTCTGTTATAAATTCACTATAAGTATCAGCAGATCGTCTGCTTTCTATTTAGTTTCAAAATGCATACAAGTGTGATAATAAACTAATTAGGATTATAAGACCAAATATAAAGACGCACATTGACTAGTATCTACATACTGGTGAGTGGACATTAACCATGGGAATGTAGCAAGAAATTTATCGCGCAGTATTGTGACTTCGACCCCCACCTCGCTTCCGTGGAAGAAATCGTTATGTTATAAGTTGTGTCATGCACAATCCGTTTGGTTATGATTCAATACATATTTAACGACGAGTAGAAAGTAGTCTTGATTTTCTAACTTGATGAAAACAAACTATAATCTCATTAATTCTAACAGATTTTTTATTTTTAAAATGGCGGCGCCCTATCGGGAACATCCGCCAGTCTGAGGATAAATGGTATTTAGGTTTGTTTTCACCGAGTTAAAATCAAAACTACTTTCTACTGGTAGTAAAAATATGTATTTTATTGATGGCCAATAGGATTTTGCATGACATAGCGTATATCATAACAATTTCTCTCGTGGCAGCGAGGTGGGTGTCAATATATTACTACTTACAATATTATTGTTCCTTCGACCACAACCTCACTTCCGAGGAAGAAATCGTTATGTTACAAGTTGTGTCATAGAAAATCTGTATGGTCATCAATCATATGCATATTTTACTACAACTAGTAAGTAGTTTTGATTCTTTAACTTCCGTGAAGCGATCTGAACACAAGTAAGATATCGTTTCAGGCTTCCACAACGCTCGCTTCGCACTCACAAACATAACCCATTTAGCACGAACTGCGGGGTCCTGTGGAAATCTGTGCATGGGGACACCATCGCCCGACCCCTAGGAGCAATTGACTACGAAGCAACGATTCGGCATGTCGTCGTTGATGTCGAGAAATCATCAAAATGATGAGCGTGCTACACATTTTCTATACAACTAACTGAAAATCGTTCCTCATATGACGTCACTGCAGTGCTCTGGCGACAGAGTTACGTAACCTGTCTGTGGTTTCGTTGGCGGGCGAGAGGGAAGCAGGCGACTTTTTGGCCACTTTAAGTCGCTCGGTATTAATTAACCACAAGTTTTTAAAGAATGATTTGGTGTTCCGCATAAGACTAACCACAAATCTTTCATATGTAATGGTTAAAAGAGTAACAAAAAACAAAGTTTATTGGTTCTTTAAGAATGAATGACATGATCGTATCCATGTCGTCTCAAAAGGCCCGTAACATCCGATGTCCAGTGGCTGTAGGAGGTGGCTTGTATGAGGGGGAAGAACAAATAGGACGATGTGATTTTCCCGTGCCCATTCTATCAATCCAAGGGAAACGCGACTCTTGTGTTCGTCATAGCGGATGAGAACGGGAAAGTCGGCGCTGCGTGATGGCAAGTGTCGGCGGACCAGGTGCGTTTTCATATACGTGCTGAATACTTCCGTATTAGACCACCTTGTCTCTGAAACTGTGCCTCCAGTACCGGGTGTAGCTCCTGATAACAGCTCATCTCTCATACGATGTCCAGGAAATACAAAGTAAGGGGGGAACGCTGCCACCAGCTGCGTTAACAGCGGCAATCATTGTTACCGTTTGTGATTTCCCAGATGTCACGGTCTGTGGTTTGCAATGTATCCCGGCGACGATTTTGGGTGGTGTTACATCAGTTGATAGTCCCTTTTCATCGATATTAAAAAATTGCCTGGGGTGAACTTTGAAAGTTGTACTTTTGCATGACGTTGGAGAGTTCTGTGAAATACCGACTGATGTTTTCTTTGGTGGCTGATCTCGCCCTCGCTGCATCAAGTTTCCTCGGTTTCTGTACTTTAAGTTCCGGCCATCTACCTAAGAAACTGTACAGCCATCGGAGACTTAAAGGACGATCTCTGTCTCTGTGTCCTTGATTGACAGCGTAATCGCTTGCAAGATTAATGGTCTCCTGACGCGTATAACCATAGCCAATCTCCCCTATAACTCTGATATGGCTCGCTAAAAAGGATTCTTCTTGTGAGGAGAACAGAGGCATGGGACCCGACTTGACAGTATCTACGCTGATATTGCCCAACAAACGATCCTTAAGGGTAAAAACCGGAACCCCCCACCTGGCTGCTGCTCTCTGTGCGGACACATTTTCTTCTACCACTAGTCTGTAAGCATTATCTAGATCATCTCTGGTGTAATTGGACCTATACGGACCGCGCACAGTCGTATTTGTCTGAAAGGATACAAGAAAAACCTATCAGAAATTGTTTAACGTTACGGAGAAATTGGATAAGGATGGCCCGAAAATGTTTCCGTAGTTTTTTAATCGAGCGGCATCTTACGTCACAAGTTACGTGATATAATGTTGACAAACATCATCGGCTAGCAGACGATGCAAACGAAGATTGATAGTCGGCTCATTTACCTTATTTACACAGCTTAATAATGAGGTAAAATATAGTATTAAGAAAATTCATGTTATTATTTAGGTACTGCTTTTTTGTTATTCTTACCTTCCTGATTTCCATTATTGAAAACTTTTTCACGGAGCGAGTTGACGTGACCTCCTTTCAGGAAATTTGCATACTGACCCCTGACCTCGCGCGCGTTCGGTCGAAATCACGCGAGAAGTACGATCGCCGAAAACAGGAGAACGCCGAATTCATGTTACGGTGGGATACATTGGTCTATATAATTATCTAATTTAAAGCGATGTATAGTACTAAATTCGTTTATTAATTCCAGCCACGCTGACAGCACCTATGTAGGGCTAGATTCGATCGGCAGCGGCATTCCACGGGTCTAAAAACTTATTGCAACATCTACAAATCATTTCCTCGACAGTAAGCAGGCATTTTCTCCAAAACCATCGGCAATCATACTCACTTGTCGGCCATAGATCTAGATGGCCTTGACATTCAAGTGATCTGAGCAGATCCGCAGAAACGAAATTGGGCCATCCGATTGGTGGAAAATATAATATACTGTAAGATTTTGACTGTTTGCTAATGGGCGCGAAATATGAACTTTGCAAAATCCCTTATTTTTGGATGATGTACGGAACAGTAAATTGTTAAGAATAGTTTTAGAGGTTGTAAAATGCATTCGATATTGATTCATTTTAGGAAATTATATTTATAAATATTTAACCTTTAAAATTATACAGCTACTGTCCAAAGATGACTGCCAAGATTGGAATAAATTATCATGTAGTCTCTGTTTAAATGATTCAATAAATATTTTGTCATCACCAATTTCCTGGCTTATCCAAACAAATCCAAAACCAAATTGAAAAAGAATATTTTTAATTCTAGTTGCCCATGAAATTCGTCTCACCCTGTCTAGAGATAATAGCATAAAATAACATTGTTTTGGTAATCTATAGTCAGGCATGTTAAGAAGTCTGCACCAGTATTTCGGTTGTATAAGTAAACTGTAAAGGCACTCTTCCACATTCACCCAAGGCCATATTGTTACAGGTGGATTTTCCCAGTCATTTTACTCACCTAAGCATTATGTCATTGAGTAAGTTTACTAAGCAGGCATGTTCTGCCTTATGTCATACCTAATCAAAGCTAACTTAAATATAATGGAAATGATTTCATAAAAAAAATCACTCATCCTTTACTGACAGTACAACACTAGTCCTATACTAACAGTACAACTTGATAGCAATCGATGTCTTTTGTCATTACGCAAGCGATTTTTATAAATATATTCCGTACGCATTTGTTTTAAACTTTTTGCGTATCTAACATTTTAAATGCGTAATTGGTACGCAACAATTATTTTTCAATGCGTAATTTGAAATTTTCTATGCGTATTTTACCCGGATATGCAGCTTATCTGGGCCTCTGCCGGCGGCATCCGAGGGCGTTGGCAATAGCATTGTATGTCGACCCCATCCGCACCATCCCAATGGCTCTTTCTCTCCCTTCAGCTGTTAATCGTGGCATATTTCTCGTACTTGTGTATCAGATCATGTCTTCTAGGCTCTCTTTATACCCTATAGAATCATTCTACATGTGAAATGGATGTAAATGCTGCTTGAATATTGCTGCGTTTTGGCGATTGATATTGCTAAACAGAACATGGAAAAATGTTACTTTGCAAGCAAAAATGTTAACAAAGATAAGTTTAGATGTTCCTAAACATTTTTTCACAATATCAAAGACACGTTTCACTTGTTTTCACTCATGCAAATTAGCAGAAAATGTTTTAAAAGCCTGAAATCATAGCAATGATTAGTTTACAATTCTACACACTCTACAACAGTTGTTTCTTGTTTTAATAGTTGAAAAATGGTGACTTTAAATGGGTTATCATTGTCCCATAGAAGAATTTTATTTCAACCTTTCTTTAGGACATCAAAATCACTATTATTGGTTTATTTAGGCATGGACGAATATAGGACAATTTCACTCTTCTGAAAAAGATGCATTTCACCAAAATATGAATGCGTTTGAGATGTGCATAAAGCTGTGTTGTTAAGCTTTCTTGTAAACTAAAACCTAAAATTTCTTTGAATGTTTTCAGGAATTCATAAAGGTAGGAGGGTAACGTTTCTTTTGGTTTCTTTTGGCCTCTAGTGTATATCCGGAAAGACTGCCCGTATCCCCTCACACACACACACACACACACACACACACACACACACACACACACACACACACACACACACACTCTCTCTCTCTCTCTCTCTCCTCACACACTCTCTCTCACTCACACACTCTCTCTCTCACACACACACACACACACACACACGCGGGCCCGCGCGCGTGTGTGTATGTACCTATATTGGCACTTTAATCTGAACAGGACATAGGATACAACCTGCTTCCATTCAATTCATATTATATGGTTTAAACATATTTATTTCTGATACATTGTTCAGAAACTGGATCGGCAAACAAGCAAAACGCTTATATTAATGCCTCTCCAGACAAAACAACATTTATGCGACTTACATTTCATAACAATATTACAAAAATACATGGTATCATAAATAACAATATGCATACAATATACATGAATATGAACATCCACACAGCCACAAATACTTTTAGTTCTGCAAAGGGACAGATGAAAACTTAAGACAGATTAAATCTTTTTGAACTGGTAATAAAGGTATGTACAGATCTGATAATATCATGATTTATAGATCTAGGTAATTCTAAGTTACCATACAGAGCGTCATTTATGTTATATCCATGTTTGAAATAAAATAAATCGTTTCTTATGGCATCATAATTGGGACATATAAAAAGGTAATGAAGGGTGTCCTCGAAGGCGGCACCACAAATACATGATGGGTTATCGGATATAAATCTACTTACTATATGGGCATTTAAATCGCTGCATTCTAATCGGAGTCTACAGTGGATTATTTGACAGAACCTGTTTCCAATGTTGATATCAAATCCGAATGAAGTATTACAATATAGTGTATTCTTGTTTTTAAATTCACTTGGTGACTGTATAAGTCTGAGTTCTTCAGGTAAAGAATTCCAAAGTTCAATAGTACTGGGCAAAAATGATTTAGCATATGAAGTAGTTCTTATAGCGATTTTGTGCAAATTTGAAGAGTTTCTTAAGTTATATGGGTTTGCAACAGAGACAGATTCTGGCACGAGACTGTTTAAGTAATCTGGTGTTTTGTTATGTATCATTTTATGGAATAGGGTCAGTTTCTGAATGCGCCTTCTTTCTGCTAGAGGTAAAAGATCAGTTTCTGAATATAATTTATTATGACTTGTTCCCCTTGTAGCCCCACATATTGTTCTTAGTGCATCAAGCTGCAATTTTTCAAGCATTGATGCCTGGCTAACTGTACAGTTATCCCATATACAACTACAATAATCAAATAATGGCAGAATAAAGGATTTATACATAACATATAGTGTTTTTCTTGATAATCGATATTTGTAAAGAAAAAAGAAACAGAAACAATCCAGCAAAACAGTGAAGTTTTAATTCAGCTGACAATGAAAGAAAGATGGAGTCAAATTGGAAAGTCAGTAACGTGTATGACCACCGTTAGCAGCAACACAAGCTGTGAAACGTCTCCTCATTGAACTGATAAGTCTCTGAATAATGTTTTGAGGCAATGCATTCCACTCTTGTTGCAAGGCATTCTCAAGTTCCCCAAGGTTGTTGATCTGTGGGCGACGTGAGAGGCGTTGGCCGATGTAATCCAACAAGTGTTCAATGGGAGACAAATCTGGTGACGATGCGGGCAATGGAAGTAGAGGAATGTAGTTGTTTGCCAGAAACTGTGTTGCAAGGCGTGCAGTGTGCGCTCGAGCATTGTCCTGTTGGAATGTGTTCAGATCTTGATGTTGGTTAAAGAAGGGAACGACGTTGTTCTGAAGAATGGAGTCACGGTAGTAAAGGGCATTCACTCTGCCACGACAAACTACCAGAGCGGTTTTGTGATGATGACTGACCCCCCCCCCCCCACCACCACCACCACACACACACACACACTCACACCATACTGCTTCCTCCACCCCATCGATCTGTTTCCACAACACAGTCCTGATGGTAACGTTCTCCCCGTCGACGCCATACCCGTAGACGTGTGTTATTATCACCAACGCCTGTTGTCTGACACACACACACACACACACACACACACACACACACACACACACACACACACACACACACACACTGAAGGGTTGAAACAGCTGCGTGTGGCGAACATCGACTTTCGCTCCTTCCATTGAAGAAGGGGGCGGTGGTTTAGCCTAGCAGTTAAGGCGTTCGCTCGTCACTCCGAAGACCCTGGTTCGAGTCCCCATATGGGCACAATGTGTAAAGCCCATTTCTTTATCATTGGTGAAACTTTATCAAATAGAGAATTTATCTGTGCAGTCCAATTTGCGTCTTTTTGAAACCAGAGGCCTAGATGTTTGTGCTCGGAAACTTTGTTTATAGGAATATTTTGCATAAATAATCTCGGTCTAATCACTATGGAACGTCTTTTACTAAACTGTATACTTTCAGTCTTAGAAGGATTGAATTTAACTTGCCACCGCACTGTCCATTGAGAAATCCTTTCTAAATCTTTATTGAGGCGCATAGCATCATCGGTAGGATCTTCTATTATAACATAAAGTCAAGTGTCATCAGCAAAGAGTCTTATATGGCAATCTATATTTTCAACAAGATCATTTATATACACAAGAAATAACAATGGCCCAAGCACAGATCCTTGGGGACACCGGCTAATACAGATCTATACTCGGGTTGTAACCGTTTATAACAACTTTCTGAACTCTTTCATGAAGATAACTATCAAACCAATCAAGTAATTTACCACATATTCCATATGATTGTAATTTGTATAGAAGTCCCTTATGCCACACTTTATCAAAGGTCTTGCTTATATCACAAAAGACAGCTCTTACTTCTTTACCTTTATCCATGGCACTTGAAATGAAGTTATACAAATCTAATAATTGATAAGTTGTTGAATCACCAGGACCAAAACCAGACTGTAATTTATTTATAATACCATTGTCTTTAAAAAATTTAAAGACGTATTTGTGAACACATTTTTCAAAGACTTTAGATAAACAACATGTGAGAGACACTGGTCTATAGTTGCTACATTCATTAACACTTTCTTTCTTATGAATGGGTATTATGGAAGCACGTTTCCATGTACTGGGAATATTTGCTATGTCTAAAGACTTATTTAATATTGAAGTTAAGACAGCACTTTGGCAGTAAGCCTAAGGAATTTATTACCAATACCATCAGGGCCCGTCGCTTTGCGAACGTCTAGAGAAAGAAGTATATCTTCAACATCTCTCTGGGTTAGTTCAATGTTTGCTAAACAGTTCAATGATTTACTACATAAGGGTGGGAGGGAACATTCTGTATCTTCAACCGTAGATTGGGCAGAGAAAAAATCGTTAAAGATATTAGCTATAGATGTAGGATCATCATAAATGACATTTTCATGGGAAATGGAAGGAAACGATGTTGATAACATTTTTCTTCAGATAGTATTTAATAAGCTGCCACCATTTCTTATTATGACTCTGTTCGTTTATCATACTATCTAATTATAAAAAGTACCTTTCTTTCGCTTTTTTAATTTCTGACACTACCTTATTCCTTGTGGTTCTAAAAACTTCGCAGTCAGAGGGTAAATTACGTCTTTTTGCAAGTCTGTGTTTACGGTTACGTTTTCTGATAAGTCTACGTATTTCGGAATTCATCCATGGCTTGTCTTCATTTCTAACCGTAATGATCTTGTTTGGAATAAACTTATCACATGCACTTACAAGGATGTCTGTAAAACCATCAACAAGTGAATCCAAATCATCAATATCTAAAAGTGAATCCCAATTAGAATCGCGGAGATATAAAATTAGACTTTCAATGTCTAACAGGGAATAATTATATATCTTTCTTCTATAGGTATGATTGCTAGGCTTGGGATGGTTCATGCTAAGAAAGACTGGACAGTGGTCACTACACACAGGATCAAGGACTCCCGATGAACTTACACTTACATAATTAGAAACAAGTATCAGATCTATCAGTGTCCGAGAATACTCGGTCATTCTTGTAGGTGTACTTATAATCTGTCTGAGGCCATATCGTGCTTGAAGTTCATCTAGACGCTGTTTTTTATTACTAAGATAAACAATATTAAAATCCCCCGTAATTACCATATCTATGTCTAAATCAGATGCGTTTCCAATTGACATATCAATAAGATCCCAGTAACGATTACTTTTATCAGCACGGTAGAAAGTGCCGATCAAAGTATGATGTTTTCTACAAGAAACTTTTACCCATACTGATTCTAAGCCCATTATTGAGAGATCTTCCATACGTTTAACGTAGATATGTTCACGTACATAAACTGCTACCCCTCCTCCTCGAGTAAGTCTATCTTGTCTGACAGGTTTATGAAATCCAGTTATCATAATATCATTGTCTAAGATATCAGGATGTAACCATGTGTCTGTTATGCAGATGATATCATAATCTTTCAGTTCAAAATTGATGATGTCAATTTTATCCCTTAAGCTACGCACATTTATATGGACTATATTCAAATTAGATCTATTGTTTGGTATAATGGGTCCAGGGTTTGGATGGACATCCCCACAGCAAATCAACAACATAAGAAACAACTGTATACCCCTGAGACCCAGGGTAAAGAAAAATAATACAAGGTACTATGTAATAAGATCAATCTTGCCCTTTGAAGAACTATAGATTTTACCATGAAACACCCCAATTCTCTGACCATACAAATCTATGTCAACACTCATCAAATATTTTCACAAGTAAAATTGAAACAGAAAATTGGGATTTATTTAGGAGATAAACCTAGTGTGTTTGAAAATCAGAGACATGCTTTACTGAATTGATGGCGACTAAATTTCAATTGGAACCTCTCAAAATCCATGGAGTTGTTATGATCCGCCATCATTGTGGTCAAACGGAAGTAGTTCTCACAATAAGATTTGTCAATGCGCGGTGAAGCGGCCTTACAATCAGATGAGCGTCAATCCACAATTGATGCCGTCTGATTTTTCTAAACAACCAATCAGAATCTAGTATTTTCTTGATTCATGGTAGAATCATCATTATCACCTGGATGCATTTATGAACATGCAATGGTGTGTTTACATGAATAGAGAAAACTATAATCTTACTTTTTGTAACATTAGATACATTTGAGAATATGTTTGTCGCATGAACTAAATAGTAGGCATCTTGAGATTCAGGTAATTTCAACAAACTGTTGAAGGATGAAAGCAAAACAATTAATGATAAAGTTAGAAAAATGAGAAAGTTCCCCATTATTCGTGGGGGAATGATAAAGAAAATAATGGCTTCGACTCTTTGTGTACATTGTAATAAGCATTTAAGGGATGCAATGTGTAAATAAACGTAAAACTGTGGATTTCCTCTTTAAATGAGAATAAATGGAGTGGATGTAAACTCACATCTGTAAATTAAACCGTAGTCTCATACATGGACTAAAATAAGGCAAACCTGCAAGTATCAGGGAAAGTGTTTCCTTGTGCAAAGTCACATTGTGTACAAGTCCAGTTTTCAGTGTTCGTAAATGAAGATACATTGAACCACACCCCACCCACCCCCAAAAAAAACAAAACAAACAACAACAACAACAACAACAACAACAATAAAAAACAACAACAAAAACAAACAAAACAACAAACAAAAAAAACAAAACAAAGCAACAACTTTATCTGATTAAGATTGTTCATGTTCGTATATTAAGTTCGATCAACACTCACACTTGCGTGACAGTTTCAACAGTAAACAACATGCAGCATCCCAAGCGGTACGGGTTCACCCGTGGCAGGGCGAATATCCTGATCAGTGATTGGGTGGTGGCAGTGAGGGTCGACCAATCAGAACGAAGGCCCGTCACTCGCTGTTGTTTGTAAACAAACGCACGTGTCATACATGGAATGTGTTTTTGTACACGGTTAGCACAGTTATATGTACAAGTTAGAGGTGATCGCGCACATTTCTCACTCAGACTACCTCTTCCTCCTCGCTGTCGTCAACATCCGTGAACTCCAGTATCCTCCTCTGCTCCTGAGACAGTCTTAGGCGGACTTTGAGTTTGAGTGACTCGATTAACTTGTCGAACTGGAATCTCTTGGTGATGAGACTGACATGTCCATCAAGATTCTTGGCGAAAATGATACCATCTCTTACCCAGGATCCAGACAACTTTCTCGACACAACCAGTTTGCGAACATCTGCAGCAATACGGGCTCTCTCTTTTGTGAGGTCGTCGTTAATAAAGATTTTCGACTGATGTTGACTTCCCTTCAATTTGTACAGATTTTTCATTAACTCCCTCTTTCCCCGATATGACGTGAATTTCACAAGTATTGGTCTAGATCTTCCCCCTGTATAATTAGCAGGGTTACCGGTCCTGTGACTTCTCTCGATGTCCTGCAAGTCAAGTTCCTACCAATCTTACCAGCTAACTCAATCACAATGTCATCTGTGTTTTCTCTGTCTCTTCATTTATACCGAATACACGAACATTATTTCTGCGACTGTACTGGTAGATATCATCGAGGTGTGAGTCTTTTGCCTTTAGTTTTCCTGTCAAATCAGTAACTTGCTCTTCCAGTGAGGCAATCTTCTCTTTATTCTCATGTAACACTTCCAACATGGACTTAAGTTTATTGTCAAGTGTCAGGTGTATTTGGGGCATAATCATTTCAGCTAGAGCTACTCCTACTTTTTCCAAAACTGTAGGTGAGTTGAGGGCCTCAATAATTTGAGGAACGATATCTAAATTTGCCATTCTTGGTTCTTCAATGGTGAAAACAGAACTGTCTGACAAGGATCTTGTCCTCTTAGAAATGGAGAATGAAATATCCAACTGGGGAGAAATGGGGGAACTGCGCCGACGATTTGAGTTGCCGGGTGTGTCAGTCATTTGTTTACTAAGTCCAAATTGTTAAGTAAGCAGTTATAAATGTCAAATTATACTAGAGCATGGGGTGTCATGAGTTCTATCTTCTCAATCAATGGAGGAGGTTTACTTACATGTATTGAATGAATCCCTTCACACACATCCTCATGTTGAATATGGAGTCCACTGAATGTGTACAGTCACTTTCACAAATCCATTGAAATTTCTCTGAATTTTCGCCATCCACTAATTATTTTCACCAGATTATGTTGAGTAGTGGTTCTCTTTCAATCCCACATGAATATTTTTTGTCGAAATTGCCTTTGTGAGGTGTTATTTTATCACATTGTTGTCACATTGGTGGGAACGCTTGAAAGCATGTCTGCCCTCGACACCAGGCAGGAAAAGCATATGTTTATACTCCTCATCATTAAACTTTAGGGGGGATACGGGAGGAAGTCATACCGTATATCTTTACTCCTTCATCAGGTGAATGATGTAAGGAAACTGCCTCAGTAATGTAATTGATGCAGCAGTTGCCTAGAGAGCGAAAGATGAGCACGAAGATAGTGTTTCCAGTTAGCTGCACATTTTCAATACTATGCTTCTAATACAATCATTCTGCTGCAGGGTGTTTATTTCGTTTGTTTGTTTGGTGTTTAACGCCGCACTAAGACAGGGTGCATGTAGCGAAATTAATATACATATTCTTTCAGATACTTTTGGAACGGCCACTTCTGCGCATGACTCTTTACAGTTGTGTTTATGCAGTCGCGACCTTCACCTTGATAACAGGACTGTTGATGTTTAATACATCTACGGCATTGGTGTTTATCGCCGTGTCACTGTTACTATGGCTGTCGACACGGCGTCCTCCTGGTCTTCCCCCTGGTCCCCCTCTTCTACCACTGGTGGGCAACATCTTCTCCATGGACGCCGACATCACGGTAACATTCAGCAAACTGCGACGCCAATATGGAGATATCTTCAGTGTGTACATCTTCAACCAGCCAGTCATCGTCCTCAACGGTTACAGTATCATCAAAGAGGCCCTTGTCAAGAACGCCGATGTTTTCTCGCACCGACCGCCCTCATTTTTAACCGATCACTTTTCGAAAGGAAAAGGTACATTTACTTGAATAGACACTGTCCTTACACGCACTATTAATTGCACGGCCTGAATGAGCATCAATCAACACAACTAGAGGCACATTTACTAATTATATAACTTATTCTCATCCCCATACCTTTAAAACGATTTGTCCCTAGTATGGTGATCTGCCTTTAGTTGTTGGCAATCTATAGCCTGTGTTTATATTGTATTGTCATTTACAGTAAACATATTTTAGATTTAATTACTTGTTTTTATTCATTTATAAATGTACAATTATTTTAGTCACGATATGGCTGAAATACTGCTGATGTGACTTTAAATTTTAACTCAGTGGCAATGGCAATTTGTATTCATAATATCAGGAATATGTCCATCAATATCCAGTTCATCTGCAGATGGCACAGAACCGTGTTCCATGTCACGTTTCTTTTAACAATATAACATTGTAACATTGTAAAATATGTATAACGGTTCAGGGTATCATAAGTCGTGAACGTTTCCCCGGGCCTGATCTTCAACCAGCCAGTCATCGTCCTCAACGGTTACAGTATCATCAAAGAGCACACACACACACACACACACACACACACCCTGTAAAGCTCATTTCTGATGTCCCTAGCCCTTACCCACTCATTAACTCCTCACTCAAATGTAAGTCTGTTGTTTGTTTAACGCCACAAGCAGCCATATTCCAGCTCCTCACTCAAATGTAAGTCTGTTGTTTGCTTAATGCCGCACGCAGCCATATTCCAGCTGTATGGCGGCGGTTTGTATATTATAATCGAGTCTGGACCAGACAATCCAGTGATCAACAGCATGAGCATCGATCTACGCAATTTGGATGCGATGGCAGGTGTAAACCAAGTCAGCGACTCTGACCACCCGATACCGTTAGTCGCCTCTTACAAGCATGGTACTGCTGTAGACCAATTCTAACCTCTTCACGGGCACACTGAAATGTAAGACGATTGTGAGAGACGCCATAATATCAATATGTAGATCACTGTATCACAGAGGGTACATTCATTGTACATGCAGTCAGTGTCTAAACATCACCCTAACGACACTATAAACTCTTCGATGAAATTGACTGATGTGAAATATTCTTGCAAATATAATGAACTAAATGCATATCATGCATTAAAGTTTTGTTTTGCTTTAGGTCTTGTGTTTTCAACGGGTTCCATCTGGCGGGAACATCGGAAGTTCAGCATGTCTACTCTAAAAGAATTCGGAATGGGCAAAACAATTCTGGAGGATACAATACAGGAAGAGTTGTCGTTCTTTCTCCAGGCCATCCACGAATGCGTCGACACAGACTTTGATTGTTCCCGAACACTCAACAAGGCAGTGGCAAACGTTATAAGTTCACTGGTTTCTGGAAAACGGTTCGAATATACCGATCCTTTGTTTGTCAAGTTCCTGAAATGTCTGGACGAGAACGTCAGGAACCTTCACACAGCCAACGTTCTCAACTTTTTGCCCGTTGTTCGCCATTTACCTGGGGACTTATTCAAATTTAAGCAAACTCTTCGAAATGTATCTATAATTGATAAAGAAATAATTCGACCGTTTATCTACATCAACACGGACAACGATGACAGCAGCGTCACCAACTTCACCTCTGCTTATATCAAGGCCATGAAACATCGCCACCAGCAAGGACAAAAGACGACTATGTGTGGTAAAGCTTAATAAATAATCCAAAAACGATACACCATGCACATTACAATTCATTCTAAAGATTTAATACTGTGTCACTGTGAATGAAAGTCTAGTAATGTCTATACGAGGAGGAACCCACCTTCTTTCATAATCGAGATTCAGAATATCCTTTGCCAAATAATGGTCTAATGACATCTTTTGTTTGGGATAATGCAGCAGGTTTTTCCACTTGAGGACAACCGAGCTGAAACAACGGTGGTTTACTGACGTCATTAATTCAACTACGAGATTTTAATGCATATCTTCTTAAAAACATGCAGAGGTTAAAATTATTTTTGGTTTTTGAATCCTTCTTGTAGACGAGAATCTGGAAAAGTGTCTCAGTGACTTGTTCATCGCTGGCTCTGAAACCACAACTACTGTCCTCCGATGGGGTCTGGCGTATTTCCTTAATTATCCGGAGGTGCAAGAGAAGTGTTTCAAGGAGATCCAAGAACACATAGGGCAGAGCAGACGACCCTCCATTAAGGACAAAATCAACCTGCCGTATGTCGAGGCCACGGTTGCCGAGATACTGCGGTGTGCTGACATCGTGCCGACCAATCTACCTCACTCTGTTTCCCGTGATGTAGAGTTCCGGGGATACACTTTCCCAGAAGGAATCACCGTATTACCAATGTTGAGCTCTGCCCTGAAGGAACCGGATGTCTGGGGTGATCCTGAGAACTTCCGGCCAGACAGATTTCTGGACACAGCGGGGAGGTTTCAGAAGATGAATGAACACATCCCATTCTCCCTAGGTAAGACTTTATTATAGCAACTCAACTTGGGTCCAATGAACCCGTCAAGATTCGGGTTAGAATTGGTCTTCAGTAACCAATGCTTGTCGTAAGAGGCGACTAACGGGATCGGGTGGTCAAGCTCGCTGACTTGGTTGATACATGTTATCGTATCCCAGTTGCGTAGATCGATGCGCATGTTGTTGATCACTGGATTGTCTGGTCCAGACTCGAGTTCTTACAGACCGCCGCCATATAGCTGAAATATTGCTGAGTGCGGCGTTAAATAACAACCACGGCAAATCAGACCCAGTGACATTATTTATACGTTTGTCTTTTTCATGGGGAATTAATTCAAGACCCCTTTATCTGTCGTCATAGCTACATGAGTACACGACCCCTGTCATGTCAGTATAAGGATCTGTACATACGATCAGTGTCTGTCAGTATGTCTTTCGGCACGACCCCTGTCTCTGTCGGTATAGTGATCTGTTCATACGATCCCTCTCTCAGTATAAAGATACGTATATTCAGCATAAGGATTAGTACATACAATGATACTCGTCCGGATCAATGCTAAATGTGCTATCTGTGTTATGTTCATCTTACCGAGCATCCCTTGGTGGGGTATAAATCATTCTGTTATTCGGAATCGATGCTAAATGTGCTATCTGTGTTATATTCAGGGCACCGAGCATGCCTTGGTGAGGCCTTGGCACGAATGGAACTCTTCCTGTTTACTGCTAGCATGATCCAACAGTTCGAATTCCGACCTGCAGGCGGGATGTGCCCGCCCTTGAAAAGATTCCCCGGAATCGTCACTCACCCGCAGCAGTTCAAAATGAAGGCAACACCAAGAACAAAATAAGTTGTCTTGCAATCTCCATAAAACCACACAGCGTATAATATAACATACCAATGTGTATCATATTATGTTACTCAGAATAAACTTTATATTTCACGTTTTTCCTTCAAGACAACTTGACGTTAGGCTTGATAAATGGCGTTCTAATAAAGCATTGTCCCAATTTGGATTCAGTTTTGGAATAGTCCTGTTGAAAATTTAGTTGGTTGGTTGATTGTTGCCTAAAGCCGCGCTTAGCAATACTCCAGCTATATGGCGGCGGTCTGTAAATAATTGAGCCTGGACCAGGCAATCCTGTGATCAACATCAGGAGCGTCGTTCTACGCAACTGTGATACGATGACATGTGTCAACCAAGTCAGCGAACCTGTCCACCCGATCCCGTTAGTCGCCTCTTACTGTTACTGAAGAACAATTCTAACCCGTATCTTCACTGTTATGAACATTTAATACAAAACACAATGTTGTTTCATTGGTAGCTAGAACAATCTGGTTTGGCGTTACCAGCCAGACACGGGTCAAGGTGACAGAGTTCCATTATCTGACTGAAGATATGCCAGTGCAGTAATTGCTCTCATTGAAGCAGGTGCTTGTCAAAACTGGATGAGATAAGTATCGGCACTAATCCGGTACCAGGATTCGTTAACATCAGACCCAGTGGCATATCCGGGGGGTGGGTTGGGGGAAGGTGTGTGTGTGTGTGTGTGTGTGTGTGTGTGTGTGTGTGTTTTTTTACTCCTGTATTGCCCAGCGTCTGCACATCTGTCGTCCAATAAATCTAACATCACACAAGGTTTGCCACTTCATGACGACCGACTTCACAATGGCACATTCAAAATTTCTTTGGCAAGGCTTAAATTAAAACAATTATCAACCCCATCCTTTCACAATCCTGATCTAGCAAGATTATCTGATGTTTCATTGCCCTGAAAACCTACATTAACTGGAAGCAACACAATGTTTATAAACCCCTTTGAAAATTTCTGGATCCGCCTATGAGTCCAAACGTGCATGCCCCCGGGTTACGCTTTCCACCGGTGCTGTAGTATGGGCGTGTTTTGTGCGGGTAGAATACAGTACGGCCCGAAACTATCGTAAAAGTGCGTAAAACGCAACCACGTTGGAGCATGGTGATCAAACACCAACATGGTGCAACATAGATGGTCGGGCTAAGAACACGATAGGTTTTCATGTATCTCTCATCACAATTGTACAAGAAGTGAATTGTTCAAAACATGCCACGACTGAAGCTCAAGGCAACAACGCCATCGGCCGACAGCAGACAGGCTAGTCGGAGTTTCCCGTAGCCAGATTGTACACGTATTGCCAAGCAAAAAGTACAAGGCTGTGGAAACGTTATCAGACGCAGGGCCAGCACGTGACCAACCTGACCACGTGTCAGCGCGGGTGCATCAATTACGTGATACTCACCAAAGTCAGCTCTATAGATACAGCAACACCAGGGCTGCGTATGATTTCAGCCCAAACAGTGATAAACGCCAATGTGAAGGACATAAAGTATGGCCACAACAGCGATGGATACGTGTTTGGTTTTTTACTTCTCTGTATAGGCGGAAGACGTTGTGGAGAACGTTATGCTCGAAACTGCATACAGGAAGTGGACATTGAAAGTGTGATGATGATGATGATGATGATGATGATGATGATGGGTGTGATTTGTATGGCAGTACAAATTCACAGGTCATATAATACAAGAGCAGCGACTTACATACAAAACGGTCAAGGGTATTGATAATCACCACACGCAATATCACGCACGGACACGCACACGCGCGCGCGCACACACACACGCACGCACACATCCGTACGCACGCTTGCACATGTACACATCCATACACAGGCCAGGCATACGTACTCGCATACACACACAGTAACACCCTGTGAAGACACTCATAATGCTGCTACCGTGAAGGTAATACATATTCGGCATCTGTTTACTTCAGTTCCTTTGGTGCGTCGCCGATAACGCAATTGCCGTCAGCTCAGCTAAGACGAACAAACAAACACACGACCGCGGGAAAGGCCCGTCCCGATTGTATGTGTGTCAGTGAGCTGGCCCCATCGCTGTGTCCCTGGCTACATATCTCCCCTTCCCCTTCTCCAGTGCCGCCCAGTGGCACGGCCCATTCAGATTTTCATCTTCGACATTGTTGACACAGAATGGTGAACTTACGTTTGTTGTTAATCGAATATGTGATCCTCCAAAGCTGTTTGTAGACTGATCTAAACCTTCCACTGGGGAATGGTATGTTTGTAGAACTATCACCATCAGTTTCAAATCACCAGTCTCCCTCGAACGAACACTGACGTCACTTCGTTAGAAGTCATGCTGATGGAGACATTTTTCTATAGCTTCGTTTTAAGAGTCACGAACTCCTTGTATATTCTAATATGAAACATTGATATTGCTTTATACAACCATGTTAGCCTATTAAAACTTGAGTTAGTATGAGTGAGTATGGTTTTATGCCGCTTTAGGAATATTCCAGCAATATCACAGCGGGGGACACCAGAAATGGGCTTCACACATTGTACTCATGTGGGAACTCGAACCCTGTCCTTCGGCGTGACGAACGAACGCTTGAACCAATTAGATGCCTTGTCTTCTTGTGGCATTTTGAACAACAGTTTTTATCAAAAAGCAGCCTTGCACAAGTAATTATAAGTGTAAATGATAATTTCAAGATTTTATAAATAAAAAGAACAAGATGTCCCATTAAAAGACTGGCCTCCTTTCTGTATACTTATTTTGACCTCTCTAATTGATTAACTGTTACTATGAATTACTATTCATAAATGGGCGTCGTATTCAGCACAGGCTTGGAGCTAGGCTAAGCATAGGGAGACGTGAAATATTTCTAGCTGACTTAATTGGTACTGTTGCACTGCTGCACAAAGAAAACGACCTACTTTTTAACTCTCTTAAAATCGAGTGCAAAATCTAGGCCACAATGTATTCTAGTACACAGCATCGCCTCGTCTGACCCGGGTGTTCCTTTCAGTTGTACGTGTATGGAATCCTGGAAGGGACATTTTGGCTTTGTCGCCAAACAAAAAGTGCCAAATTTATCCAAATCGCGAACACAGGTCTAATCTATGGTCTAAAATATGGGTAAAGTAAAGAAATATTTCTAGGTCAAAATATGTCAAGTATTGTCGGGCCACTTATATCACACAGAGAAAGCGTCCTTGCCAATGTCACCCTTTCACCAACTACTGCACCAGGCTGAAGTAATGGATCAGATATACGAGGGTCAAGCGGGCTTTAGGGAGGGATATACAACAACAGAACATATCTTTATACTGTATAGTCTAATACAAAGATACCTCAGCTCAAAAGGTGGAACGTTCTACGCACTATTCATTGATTTTGCAAAGGATTTTGATTCTGTGCAACGGAATAAACTATGGGGACAATCGCACGGTCTTAGTAGTAAAATAAATAAAATGTTGAAGAGTATATACGAAAATCTTAAAGAGTGTGTAAGGAATAAGCATGAATTATCAGAACCTTTTATTAATGAACTAGGTGTTAGACAAGGCTGTATTTTAAGCATCATACTAAGCTGGGTTGTATGGTCTTATTGCAGATTTCTCTTTACTCCCATTCTAGATATGATTATAATATACATAAATATATATTGTGCATTCAAAGAACGTCATTGTTTTCTTAATTGTAACAAAACAATGTAATACAACAACAACATTTTAACAATTTACACTGTTATAAACCAATTGCAATTAATGAATAAAATGTCCTTTCAGTGATATATGCATGTTGTTTTCTCATAATCAGGAACATGTAAATCAGACACAGTGACCATGCCTAAAAGTGCCGTGTTCGGGCAGGAAGAGAAAATTTTCATACGGACTGATAGAAGTAGTACATGGACATGAATATTCCACCGTCGTATGGCGGTCGTCATGGGAGGTGGCTCTAATTATCTGAACATGTGTGTTAGTGTGTTCTAAATGCACTGTCAGTGTGTACTTTCCTGCTCTTGAATTAAGGGGAGGTTGGTTACCTAGTCATGTTAGTGGTTAATGCGTTGACTCGTCATGACAGAGACCCGGGGTATAATTTGTAAAGCCCGCGTGTTCGTTCGCTGTTAGTATGCTGTTGTGGGGTCAGAATTCTTGCTTACTGTTACTGGTGTCACAGTTTGCCAATTGTATGAGCATGTCATCTAAAGGTCAAGGTTTGGTCCACGATAGAGTGGTGGTGCTCTAGATTTGTAATCCGAGGGGATACGGTTGCGATATCATTCAAGTCAATATCTGGGTAATTTTCTGAAGTTAACAAAGACTTAAACCCTCTCTATTTATTGGTTATAGGCGCATAGACGCAAACGCCTCCAACCTATTAATCGTGTTGAATTTATCTCTCAGGTGAAATATCTCTCTATACTAGTCTGTCAAAAAGACCCTGAAGCAAATATATCCAAGTCAGCCCACGTAAGTCTAGAAAATGTAGTAGGTCTAGATTTCCACAGTCCGAAAATTAAGAAAGTCTAAGGGCTCTTTTTCATTATATTTCATTTTTTATACAATGATATTTTTTTCTGTAAAATATGTTCATTTCCGAGACTAGTTGTTAGTCTACCTCTATATATGCACCTGGATTATTCAAAATGAGTGAGTGAGTTTAGTGTTACGCCGCACTCAGCAATATCTCAGCTATATGGCGGCGGTCTGTAAATAATGGAGTCTGGACCAGACAATCCAGTGCTCAACAGCATGAGCATCGATCTGCGCAATGGGGAACCGATGACATGTGTCAACCAAGTCAGCGACACTGACCACCCGATCCCGTTAGTCGCCTCTTACGACAAGCATGGGTTACTGAAGATCAATATTCTAACCTGGACCTTCACGGGTATATTCAAAATGAACTTTCAGCCAATGATACTTAATACATGACACGTTTTATGGATAACAACTTCTTTTTTATTGAATTTCTTTACACGACGTTTCAGAGCTAATTCTTGGTGCTTCATCATGTAAATGAATCAGCAAGAATTAGCTCTGAAACGTCGTGTAAAGAATAAAACAGAAGCTGTTATCCATAAAACGTGTCATGTATTCATGTTCGTCC